CAAAATTTATTACACAGGGAATACTATTAAGAAAATAGGTAATAATTATAGTAGAACTTCGTTTATATGAACCCTATTTATTTGAAACAAATTTTAATCAATACTTGATTAAATGAACACTGGATTTTTGTTTAATTTTATTATTATTTAGTACATTATTAACTATTTCTTATTCTATTCGTATTATGATAAATTTATTAAATAATAAATTAATATTAAATATAATTTATTTATATGAAGATAAATTAATAAATTTTTGTATAATATTTATAATAATTATTATATTAATATTAAGAAAATTTATTTTTAATTTAAATTTTATAATTATTAATTTAAATTTATTACAAATTTATAAATATTTTGTATTTAAAATATTTATTTTAGGTTTTATTATTAATATAATTTTTATAAAAATAAATTTTAAGATAATTTTAATTTAAAAAAAAAATTTTTTTTTTATAATTAATATATATAAAATAATTGTTTTTAATTTTAATAAATTTTTAAATAAATATGAAAAAATCCAGAATCTGAACTTTTATTATATAATAAAAATAAAAAATTGAATGAACTTCAATTATATAAACTATTTATCAGATCAACGAAGGACAAACTTTTTTTCCAAACTCTCATCCTATTTATTTAGACTTGTTTTTAGTGAAAGAAAAATCTTTCTCAACTAGTCTATTATTTTAAATGACAGTAGAAAATTAATTTTATCTGTACAAACGGATTAAATAACAATCGAACGATCCTTCCTGTTTTTTTTTTTTTTTGTTTTTTTTTCGAAAATAAGCGTACGTCTGCAATTTCGTTGCAGGTTATAAATTGAAAATGGTTAGATTTGACACAGATATGAGAAATCTCGGTATTCAGCGGGATGTACCGCAATCTTCGATAAATTATAGTGGATTTATGGAACGCATAGTTGTCCGACATCCACTAAGATAATCGAAATTCCGCGAATTTTCTTCGATCGATACCGCCCGCCCCAGATACTCGACGAACAACGTTCATCGCGATATTAAAAGTTGGGCATATTATTTATGAAGTGGTATCTTTTATCTACGATTTCAAACTTCGTTCGAATGCACGCGCAATACAAGACTTAGGAAGAAGGCTTAAGAACTTTCTGAAATATGGATTCGAGGATATAGTGCAGCTTCCCTTCATCCGTGGAAAGATGAGTTCGTTATAGAGCGGAAAGTTTTTCAGTTTGGAACAATAAAATGCCATGGTAAATATTAAAATGAGGGGGAAAGAGGATTGCTTGCGGATTGAAGATGATCGAGGGCCGCTTGGAAACTTTGTAACTACGTTATGATTATCGGGTAATGTTGTTAATAAGAGGTTAATAAATATACAATCGGCCAACGCAATTTATTCAGCGTTGCATAATTTTCATCGAAAGAATCGTTGATACATGAATAAGTAAATTGTTCTTTCTTCTGCATTTCTAAAGACTGTCGCGTTGTAATTGTTTACTAGTAGACTATGTTTGTTCGCTAGCTTTCCTATTAAGATTATGCAACGCTTAAATAAATTTTAACGTGAGAATGCTCGCATTAATGAGAACTTGAGAGCTCATTAAAATAACCAAAAGTCTGGAAGCTTCATATCAACTGAACAAATTAAAAATGTATATATATCAGTTCAATATATTATCCTCTTTGAACGTCTAATAAGTAAATTAATTATTTTAAGCATACGACATTTTAACGCGTTACTGTTTTTTTGTGAATAACGTTGAATTCAATTTTTAATACTTAATATAAGAGACCCATTTATGACAAGATTTTCGTTCTTTCGTATATTTAGTATATTTTCATTGTTTTGATCGCACTTTCTAAATAATATAAGAAGAATAGTTATAATAAACGTGAAAATCGTAAAAGATAACAAAAGTGAAGAAATTGAATAGATACATGTAACAAAAGTATATTTATTTGTTTAACTAGTATCATTAAATCATTGGTAATCATAATAATATAAATTGTTCAGAGTATATTAAATTTAGATCTTTTAATTCTGATAATTATTAAATTTAGACGTTAATTTTGTTACATTTTCATAAAATACAAAATAAAATAAATTTTGTCAAATACAATCATTTGAACACAACGATGCTTTTAGAGGTCTGAACTATCATTTTATTGTTATTATTATCAAGTCAATCTTTGAATAATAAAAAAATATTGTTATGCTAATTTTATAGTTATGAGTGGATTTTTATGCAAACTCATATTTTTATAAGTGCAAATAAAGAAATCGAGCTTATAAGTATACTTTGTCTATATTTTATATATTTTTGCAAATTATATTTAATTGATGCATCGGATTCTCAAATTTTTCATAATTTTATGAAAATGCGCAACCTACTTATGATTCAACAACATCGTTTGTGAAAAGTAAGATCTATTTTTTTAGGAAGAAAAAGAAGGATAAATTGTTTTTAAATACTATCTCAAACGTAGCGCACTGCATCGTTTCGCATCGTCATTCTATAATAAATTATGTTGTATATTATTTTTTTACCTTTATGTGTGTTGTATATTATTTTCTACTTTTTTCTAGGAAATAGAATCTGTTTTTTTTTTTTAAAGAAAGAAATGTAATTTATTTTTGAACACCATTTCAAACGTGGTGTACCGCAGCATTTCATATCACGTTAACCACAACATATGTATATAAATGATTAAAACTTTCTGAATGGTTTCACAGATATGAGATCTCCATTTTTTTCTCTCTCTCTCAAATTTAAAAAATTTTTTCAGTTATCATTTTTATACGATATTTTTAATTCTTACTTTCTTATCGCAATGTAAACTGTAAACTATAAACTATAATATTGATATTTATCTATCTGGCTTTTGTACGAGAAAGATATGTTATTATTCGATGATATTAAATTTATTTATTGCTTTACCTCACATTGTACTTGCCTTCTGATTGTATTTACACATTATAAGTACGAGTACGAATATAATATATAGAGTAAACTTATATTATTATTATAAAATGTATCTGTATTATGTGTTTAAAACTGCAAGAAATTTAAAACTACGAAAATGCACAGAATACATATAGCATATAAAATTATAACAATTAATATAAATTTGATGCGTGAAATAAATTTTTATTTGTCTTTTTTTATTTTATTAGATTTCTAAGAATATGATATTATATAGACATTCGCAGTCTAGTTCTTATCAAACAAGAAAAAAAATGATCTACGTCTTTTTATTATTTTTATCTTTTCACGTGAAATATTATACATCAAATGGATGATGCACACGAAAAACATACTAGACAAACATACTTCTACGATATTTAATTAGATTTAATTCCCCTCTATGTAATTAAATAGCAACGTCACATTTTATAAATAACTATTATGTTAATGTTAATGTTACTAGCTATAAATATTATTTATTGTAATGTATAATTTAATTACTTTTTGGCATCCTACAAAGAAGCATAAATTTTGTACGGAAATATATTTATATTAAATATAATTAGTATTGCACGCTTGTATCAAATTATTGATTCATTTGATCAAAAGTCATTGAAAACAATTTTATTGTTACTTTTAAAGCTTTTATTTCCAACATTTCTTTTTATAAAAAACCTTGTACATTTAAATGACAATCACGAGCTAATATTAGTATTCTAATCATTATGTCTGTACGTGAAATGAAAGAAAATCAATGTCACGTATCGCGAGTGGCTTTTTCTTTCTGATATCTATTTATTTTATGAGCATGGCAGAAGCTTATGATTATTTATCTACATCTATGTATAATAACAATAAGTATAACAATAAGTATAATTATTTTCATATTTATTGATTATTATTATCCATTTTATAGTAATAAATATTAACAATAAAATTGAATGGTATTTCTTTATTTCTTTTTTTTGAAAATACTATATTATCTTACATATTTTTCTTAAAATATTTAATTTCACGTGTCACGGTCTTTGTAAAAAAAGGGTTTCAGTTTTCAATTCATAGTAATTTCAATTGTGAATGAAATGTTTTTAGAGGTGTTTAAATTTGCTGTATTTAAAAAAAAAAAGAAAGTGTGGAAAAATGGTAAAGCATTTTTGAAAAGAATGAACCAAAGATTGAAGTGAACATAGAAACTTCACGTTTTAAAATGGGTCCAAGTGAATTTTTTCACGACGTGTTTATGGAGTAGTTAAATAAATATCCAAAAATAATCAAATATTTTCCATAAAGTAAAATATTTATCAAATTTAGTGTCCGAATTGTAAATATTCTGTATAATATATTTTTCATATTTTGGTCAAACGCACTTGTATTAAAAAGTCATATAATTTTCACAATTGTCTGGAAACTTTTCGTAGTAATAACATGAATCATTATAAAAATTACAATTCCGTATCGAAGTTGCATGTCGTCGAATAAGATATAATAAATTGTTTCTTTCCATTGTTCATTTTTTTTCTATTATCTATAGTTGACTCATAAGCTACGTCGTTAATAAATATTACTTTATCAATGACCTCAGTGCTATTCAACTTTCTTTTTCTACACTTTAACGTCCAATATCTGATTCGTGTAAAGTTGTATGCTCCGGATACGAATATAAAAACTGTTTTTCTTTGCCATCTCTCAGTTTTTGAAAAAACAAATTGCGAAATATTTCAATTTAAATGCTTAAAGTTATACAAAAATTTCTCACATAGTAGATTCTACAAATTTTCTCGAACACAATAATATATATTTACATTATTTACATTACATTATTATTAATAATATATATTATTACATTAAAAATACTTGAATATATTTAACCCTTTGAACTCATATATTACTTTGGAGGTGATAATAAAAATTTGTTTGCTTAAAATAAAACTTGTTTTAAAAATTATAAAATTGTTTAAAAAATTTTGAAAAGTCATAAAAATATATATATATAATAATGACAATAAATTAGTTAATTAATTAAAAAATATTGAATTTTACCTTTGTTAATTTACCTAATTTACCTTAAAATAAATACAACTGGACTTGCAACAACATTCAAAAACAGACAAATCGAATTCAAATGGTTAAGGAATGGTCGAATTAAACAGAGATTATTAGAACCTTTCTTTTGATGACAATTGAGTAGCTTCTTGTTTTCTCTGGCATGTGACAATCGGAGGCACCTCGCACACACATTTTACATTGGCAGAGAAAATGTCAGTTTGTACTTGATTCAACTCGTCGCCTATATTCAGCGTAAGATTACCATACTGGCACGTTTTGTTTCCTGCAAAATCAATGTGATAGAATTACCATCATTAACTACCTTGTTTTCTAGGAGAATTTACAATGATAGATCAGTCACTGATACTTTGAAATTAATTAAACTATTTTTGTTTCTATAAATATGTATAACTATATCTATAAATTGATATTTATTGGTTTGCATATTATTGCAGTCTTTTCTACGCAAAGTTTATTGGTTAACAGTATGAAATTATTTGGTGAAAACTTTTATAATATTTATTATTATATTATACAATATTTATTATTATTGTTATTATTATATAATATATTTTTTATAACTTTTCAAAATTTTTGAAAAATTTTATAATTTTTGAAACAAGTTTTATTATTAATATATTATTATATTTGAATGAATTTCGTTTAGTGGTTATTATTGTAACTATCAAGTTCATCAAAATAATAGATTTCGTATATTTTGTTTCTGTAATAATTACTAATGAAAAACACTAGCATATGATGTATTTCAATGAAATATAAGGAATGAGAGTGTTCGAGAAACGTATACGTTGTAATTAATATTTTGAATAATTTTTCACGTTATAATTCTGAAAGAATTAGAGAAAAGAAATCAAGTAAAGAAAAAGTATTTAATGATCGAAATTGAAGAAAACCAGAAAATTATCCGATTTCTGTACTTTTAATAATGAAAATATAATATATGAGTATAATAAAATATTTGTTTAAAGGAACTATGCAAAAAGTTTTACCATAAAATTCCACATAAAACTTAATATGAAAAACAAATTGATTATAAGCAGATTAATAACAATCTGTTATATAATATAATATTATAATATTATAAACATAACATAATCTTCTGTAAGCAGATTAATAATAATAAAATATGGAAACAATAAACCCCATTAATGTCAATCTGAGAATTTTGAATAAGGAAATATAAAAAATTATACTATTATTAAAACACTCCTCACTATACCACGTACCTTTCTTAGAATCCGATGTGACTCTCTCCTTTTGAACAACGATGTCACTTTCGACCGCTGTAAAGAAAACGAAGTTAATTTTTTAAAATGCATTTTTTTAGAGAAAATTAATACAATATCTAAACTAATTGTCCAAGTAGGTCAAGGTCAACGATAAATCCTTGTCTAAAAACTGACATTACAAGAGAAATTTACTTATTACGTTATTATATTTTTATTTACAATCCTTTATATTATTGTATCATTATTCACGATCCCTTATATTATTATATTCACATTCCTTTATATTATTATATTATTATTCACAATCCCTTATATTGTTATATTATTATTCATTTCTTCATAGTAATCCCTTATATTATTATTGACAATCCTTTATATTATTATATTATTATTCACATTCCTTTATATTATTATATTATTATTCACAATCCCTTATTTTCTTATATTATTATTCACATTCCTTCATAGTATTGTATTATTATTCACAACCCCTTATATTATTATATTATTATTCACAGTCCCTTATATTATTATGTTATTATTCACAATCCCTTATATTATTATATTATTATTCACAATCCCTTATATTATTATAACCTATCGTTTATGAAGTAAGCCCTAGAACCCGTTTATGTTATTTATTGTTCAACATCCCAACTAATAAGAGGGCAAAAGTTCATGCAATTTTCGAATAGAACAACCACTTGTTTTTATATTAAATCGCATGTTGATGTAAATTTTGAAATTAAGAAGATCGCCAATTTATTTCAATATTTAATACTGTTCAGTTACATAACTCTAGCATGTAACATAGAATTATATTCTTTTGAAAAAGTACTTCGAATTATTGAACTTCGTTCTTAGTATCGGTACGCGAAAAAATTTAAAATACCTTCGTCACTCATAAGTTAATTCCATCGTGAAATTGAAAATGGTTTCTTATATTCCATCAGTATTCTCTTTCCAGTAACGTTTATTTAACTTCTTGCGCTGGAATGACGTCCCAGATTGCAACATTTTCTCAGTTTTAAGTATATTTACATGTAACTCAGGCAAAACAGATGATAAGTTTATTGCTTCGTAATAATTTCTATCCAGTGATATCATACCGACGAGTTCGAAAGAAAAAGAAAGCGACGAATTATTGTATACGGTTCGGTCACTCGTTATGGTCCGCGAACCAGTTAAAAAAAGGATTAAGATGATCCAAAGAACACAGGGTTTTTCACTTACGGCATCTATAAACAAAAGCGCAAGAATCATGCGGATCCTGGAAATAATACACAGGTGCACACTTTTGACGAATTTGAGCAGCTTGTTCAAACAGAGGAGAGCAAGTCTCACGTTTCAGTTCTTCGCAGAAGGGCTCGATATTTTCACCTAAACGAACAATTTATATTACCCATTGTCAAATTAATTGTGGAGCTATTCTAAAGATATTCCATTCTATTATAATTTGACCTACACTTGGTGGATGCTGAATTTATTTCGTAAGAGCTCGCTCATAATTAAATAATTAAAAGCCCATAATTAATAATTATAAATAATAATTGTATTTCCCTTCTTTTTAAGGCACGAAGACAAATATAGTAAATATGTTTAGTATATTATTGCAACGTAGAATTGAGTAAATATATTTTATGAATTGTGACAATAAATATTATACAAGGAGTTTAGAAGTCATATTCCATTAAAAATATATTTAAAAACGATTTAGATATAATATTGTAATAATCATTTTATAATGACCATATTATTATGATCAACTGACATGATATAAATTATTTCTAATTCGTTTCTGAGCCCTCCATGCATTTATAGACATTCATCTATTTTTAATGACTACATAATGAAAAAAAGAATCCATTGATAAACGAACAAAAATATGTCACTTTCGTTATCATAAATTGCAACTTCTTCTTGCGAATGAATCCGAATGAATAACATCCACCGTGCGAGAATTAATAATGTAATTTTTTTATAATATACTATACCTGTATATCCAGGCATGCAATAACACTCCAATTTTGGATTAGATTTTGGACTGAAAGTCTCTCCACCTTGATAAACTTCGCCATCAACGTTGCAAACTTGTTTCTCTATTTCTGTCAGGTCTAAAGAAACGCAATCGTCATTAAATTTTATCAGCTTTTACGTTCTTGGTTTCGTATTGGCTACGTATTGGCTTTTACATTAATTTTTCAATCCAATTTTGCTATTGAAAACAATAAACTCCACCCATGTTAGAAGATTTTACGAATTCCAATATTGCAAGTGAAGAAAATAGCTTTCTCTGGCAAAAAGTTTACGGTCGAAACGTAGAAATCTTTCATGTTCGCAGGTTTAATTAAAATCGCTGTTAAGGCCAATGTACATTTATGACATGGACGTGCTTCAGAGTTAGTTTGTCGGATTAGAGATTTACCAGCCTTCACATTCATCAGGCGCGGATAATTTGAAGAATTTAGAACCGTAGAATTTATTCTCCGTAATCTTAGTTAGTTTCAAGTGTGAGATGTTCCTACCGCACAACAGTAATTGCCATGTCATAAACCAAGCGGAAGTATCATGCAGGCAACGAGAATATGATGGAATTATTCCCCACACCTGACATTCAACGCGAGTCTCAGAGAGTGGCAACGAGTAACTCTGAAAAATTCTTTCCCATATCTTCTGGTTTTTCTTGATATATTCCACGATTTTTCAGAGTTTGTTTGGAGGGGAAATCGAAGATTTCCTCATAAGAGGACACTAAGGAGTTTAGTTATCAGTTGTTAATGATCAGTTAGATAGCATCTAATGTAACTCAGTTAGTAAATAGTATCAAGGATCCATAGTCAATGAATCAAATCAGTGAGTCACGAGAATCATATTCAGACAGTGAAATCAATGGTCACTCAGTTCAATCAGTTAATTCAGTTGTCAGAAAACAGTATGTGAGTCAGTTCATCTGAGGTAGCAGTCAGTGTAATTTGGGATCAATAGTCAAGTCCGTGATCATTCAATCAGTAAATTAGTCACACAGTCATAATCAGTCAGTTAGCATTCATTAATCACTCAGTTCAGTCAGTTAACTTAATTGTCAGAAAAAATTCATCAGTTTAATCAGTCAACTCAATTAGCAGTCACTGTTACAGATCAATAGTCAAATCAGTGATCATTCGATCAATGAATTGGTCATACAGTCATAATCAGTCGGTTAGCATTTCAGCAATGAAGTTAGTATTCATTGATCACTCACTTCAGTCAGTTAACTTAATTGTTAGAAATCATTCATCAGTTTAATCAGTCACCTCAATTAGCAGTCAGTGTAATTAGAGATCAATAGTCAAATTAGTGATCATTCGATCAATGAATTAGTCACATAGTCATAATCAGTTAGCATTTCAGCAATGAAGTTAGCATTCATTGATCACTCACTTGAGTCAGTTAACTTAATTTTCAGAAATCATTCATCAGTTTAATTAGTCAACTCAATTAGCAGTCAGTGTAGTCCAGGATCAGTAGTAGGACAAGTCCGTGATTACTCAGTCAATTAAAATCATTTTCAGCCAGTGTTGAGTCATTATTGAGCTAAAAAAATCGAACTTAGCCGTCGTTAGCTTAATTCTTCAAACTAGCTGTCTGAATCAAACGGAAGCAACCAGACTTCTTGAGTAATGAATCCATCGTCAACTCAAGTCAGAATTGTTCGTTCCCACATTAGTTGGTGATCTTTTGACACCAAGTGATATAATCAAAGTGATCGACACACCATTTCGCGTCCTTAACAATCGCCTACTCAAGTAATTGTAGAATGAATTTGAGGAAGATTTTCTATTAATAATTAAACTTTAAATCGATTTTTTTCATTTCATTTTATTTTTACTACCACTAATTATTATAACTTTAGTATATATTTTTATATTTAACAATTTTATATATTTCTGAATCATCCAATTCATTCAAAAAATAATCATTTTTCATCCATATTTTGTAATTAAGGATTTAATTACAATTTTTTTATTTTATTAATTTTTATATTTATTAATATAAATAATAAATTTTATATTTATTACAAAATCCTTATTTATTAGGAGATCCAGATAATTTTAAAGTTGCAAATCCTACAATTATTCCATCTCATATTAAACCAGAATAATATTTTCTTTTTGCTGATTCAATTTTACGATTAATTCCTAAAAAAAGTAAATTTCTAAATCAGGACAAGTAATTACATTATTTATATCTACTAACTATATTTTAAACAAATGCAATAATACGTCATGTCTCGGATGTTGCAATATTTTTCAATATTTTCGAATACTTGCGTTTGATGGAAAACTTTTTATCAGAAGTCAAGATACGTCTCGGTGAAGTTAATTTTGGTTTTTGAATCGAAAACCATTTCTAAAAAAAATTGATCCTATTACATTCCGTTGATATTTATTATTTTGTACAAATCTTTCAAAACATAATATTCTCTGTAATATTTGGAACGTAAAATGATTTTTTTTTTTTACGCAAATTCCATTCATTCTATGAAAATTTAAATTTGAACAAACAGTTGACAGTTTAATGGTGAAATACTAATGAACTGTTCAAAGAAAAAAAGATTTTGCTTCATTTGCATATAAACTGAGTTACATGTATCTACTTTTAAAATTATGATTTAATCTATAAGAAATATAGATGTTTTGATTATGTCGATATAAATTATTTAATTTTATCACAGTTTTAATTTATTGACTCACCACAAGTTGGATCTCGACAGCAAAGACCACGCATTTTTCTTTCCAGACAACTTTGTTCTTGTAGACAATATTCCACACCCGAACAATTGAAACCGGCACTGTTCGCACAATGAAAACGTTTTTTTTAAATTAATTTTATATACTTTGAGCAATCAAATTGCATTGGATTATGTAAAATTGATTGGCTTTATTAAGATGTATTTTAATTCAGTAAAATTAATTTCTTTTTCTATTAATATATCATGTATGTATATTTAATATACATTCTTTAATTATATTCCTCATTAAAATAATTAAAAATTGCAAAACGAAATTATTATTGCAATATTTAAAAATAATTTCTTATTTTGGTTATATTAAAAACCAAATGGCAAATTTTGAATAACCTATGATAAAATTTATTGTTATTATAACTAGTTCTGCGAAAGATAATTAAAATTTATCTTTTAAATATTTAAAAAGATTATTAAATATTTCGTTTCAAGTTTTAACAAATAGTACATTCCTCTTATGAATTAGTAGAGCTTTAATCATGTCAAATAACATTTTCTAATGATCTCTTCATTGTTCAATTATATTTTCAACCTAAAAATATATTTGAAAACAATAAACAAGTATTTAAGAAAAAATTAAGTTGTGTCCCGAGGTACACGAAAATAAAAAATAATGATATAACAATGATAAAATAATATATAATAATAATAAAACAATATATAACACTAAAATGATAAAATAATAAAATTACGGTTAAGAATAATAAAATAATAAAACACTTAAAATGATAAACCTAATAGATTAAGTTACTTAAAAGACTGCTTTATTGTTAATTTATTTAATAATCTTCAATATAGCTATTTTCTACACTATATTTATTAACGATGAAATATACAGTAACAGTATACTATAAAAAACGCTATGCTATTGCTTAACAAATGATAAGAATGATACCCATTATTTTCTGAATAAAATTATAATACGAATCTTGGGTGTAGGATTTAATTTGAATTTACGAGTATGTGTCAAACAAAGAAAGAAGAAAAAACGAAGAAAAAATTAATTTGTGTCCCGAGATACACGAAAATAAAAAATAATGATATAACAATAAAATGATAAAATAATATATAATAATAATAATAAAACAATATATAACACTAAAATGATAAAATAATAAAATTACGGTAAAGAATAATAAAATAATAAAACACTTAAAATGATAAACCTAATAGATTAAGTTACTTAAAAGAATGCTTTATTGTTAATTTATTTAATAATCTTCAATATAGCTATTTTCTAGACTATATTTATTAACGATGAAATATACAGTAACAGTGTACTGTAAAAAACGCTATGAATTTTCGGAATTGCTTAACAAATGATAAAAATGATATCCATTATATTTTCTGAATAAAATTATACGAGTCTTGGTAGGATTTAATTTGAATTTACGAGTATGTGTCAAACTATTGTTAATAGTAGTTATAATCAATGAAGCTTATTTACCCATCGTCGTAGTGTGTACACGTGCAATTCAAGTCACAACGATTACTGTCCTCGGGCTTCAGCATCTGCCCGATATTGTACTCGTGACCATTCACGTAGCATTTATTCGGTGACAAATTGTCCAGGTGACTGCACTCGTATGCCTTCGCGCAACAGTCATTGGGATTCGCGTAGATAGGTGTACAACCGAGCCCCTTATAGTGTCTCAATGGACCGGGACACTTTGTTTTATCGCAGTTCTCTTTAGAAACCAGTTCTGAACCCAAAATGAGCGAAATAATCGCGAGAAATTTACGAAATTTTTTTTTCAATTTACGAAAACGAAAAGCAGCGAAGCGAACAGAACATGAGCGCCGAGTGACGCATGCGATTAACAGAACAATAGAAGAATAAGAGGAAAATACAGCTAAAGAACTTTATGTCCTTTAAGGAGAAAATTATATTTTAATATTGTTTTAATTCACTGGTGAAGAAACAACATTTAATAAATTTAATTATATATAACAATAGGATAATAGATCTTTTTAATAGAACGTTGTTTATCCTAATTATTATATATGTATATACAGTGGGATGCAAAATTGAGTCAATGATAAAAATTTTTAAGAGAAATATTTTTTATTGTTAAATAAAAAACATGTAAATAAACTTTTGACTCAATTTTGCACCCCACTGTATATATCTTAATTAAGAATAATTAACAAAACGTAATTTTATATATATACATATATAATTAATTATTATATATGTATATATATTTTAATTAAGAATAATTAATTATTAAGTTATTTAATTAAGAATAATTAATTATTAAGTTACTTAATTAAGAATAATTAATTATTAAGTTTTCTAGGTATCAAACAAGCGTGAAAATTTTATTTGTTGACACACACACACACACACACACACACACACCAGAGTTATGTAAAATTAATAACCCGTGGTATTAAATGGAAAGTAATTCTTTTCGAATAAACTTCTCACCTTGTCCTATTACATGGACAGCCACTAACAATAAAAATATCAGTAAAACACATTTTTGAACGCTTGAACACGAACTCTTACCGAGGCCTGTCATCGTCAACTCAGCACACGTATTCTACTGACACGATCCTCTCTCGTCTTTTATACGTAGCCTCCACCGCGAGTAAATACCATGAATAGCACGAGTCGTGAAAAGAGAGTAGGGAGTGCTCAGATCGGCGTGCTTCTTAATGAATGTAAAATTAAAATGCGTCGTGAGATATTAAAGAAAAAAGTGAGAATTTTATTGAATTATTAAATTATATATTTGAAGGAATATATGGTCTATGTAGAAATTTATGAAATGAAATTGAACCGAATATCATAACAGTTACTTTACTTTTAGTTACTTTATTTTACTTTGTATATTTTATACATTTTTATTATAGTAATTATTGAGAGGGTAGAGCAACAACTTGCTCACCGTGAACATCTATTTTGAGAGATATAAAGAAACTTTGTACGATGATGATCGTAGCATGGAAGTAATAATTCTTTTACAAGATGATGATTTTTAAAAAAATCTACTTTTTCAAGTTGTTTCAATATTTTTAGTAGGAAAGAATATGTCGATGATTTCAAGTAATCCGTAACGCAAATTTATTTGACAAAAAGTAATAGAATGAACAACAAGTCTTGCACAGTTATAATTAGACTATGAATATTCACACATTTTTGGAAAATTTAGTTTCAAAGATAAAAAAATACATCCGTCCTTTGATTTACACGGATAAAATTTACTTTCTTAAATATTTTAAAATACTATAATATAATTAAATATAATATAATAATAATTATTAATAAATTACATGAATGTAATTAAATATAATATAATTATTATTATTAGTAAATTATATAAATATAATTAAATGTTAATATAATATAATGTTTAAAATACTATGATATTAATTTACTTAAAATTTACCGAAGTTCTAATATTTTAATTACATTTTCAAAAACTACAAAAAAAATTCTAATTAAATGTAATATAATATAATGTTTAAAATATTATAATATTAATTTATTTAAAATTTACCGAAATTCTAATATTTTAATTACATTTTCAAAAACTACAAAAAAATTTTAATTAAATGTAAATAATATAATGTTTAAAATACTATAATATTAATTTACTTAAAATTTACCGAAGTTCTAGTATTTTAATTACATTTTCAGAAACCGCAAAGAAAATTTGCATAAAAATCTATGGTCTAATTATTACGATGTTATAACTAAACTGTTTCTTGCACTGAAGATTTTGACAAGAAAAATATACATACTTGTACGACAAAATGACCTACTAGCTTCTAAGACCTTCTTATATGTACATTCTGATTATTTCATTTGTTATCAAATGAGCTTGTATTAATACTCGAATTACGGTATCCAAATCCGTTCAAATCATTTCAGATACAATTAATAATAAACTCGAATATGCAAATAAGTGATACACACTGGACGTCTCCTTTACTTGGCAGCATTTGTACGAATGATGAAAGCGGGTTGCCTGCAGGAAGGAACTTCTAGCAGAAGTTTGCAGTTTATAAAAATGACAAGTCTCAAATGATTCTGTATTATCTCTTGATATCTAACATCAACTTTTTAGTCACTTTTTTCTTTAACTTTAGTCATTTTTAATCAGTTTATTAACAAATGGATATGTTCCACGTTTAAAAATCAATAAACAAATCATTTCTCAATAAATGAGATTAGTTTGACTGTAGAATAAATACAGGATTGTCTAAGATTAATTTTAGAATATTTTAATCCCATTGAGCAGCTATTTGAAATCTGTGGTGTTTTCTTTTTTAAATTTTATTAGAGACTTTTTAAATGAGAGGCATACACTTGAAAATAATTATGCATTTATTATAAAGTCAGTATACTCGGTTTTGTTATCATGACAAAGTTTGGCCATTCTTACCCAAAATGTAAACAGGAATAATAATATAACGAGACTTTGGAAACTATAACAAACGTTCTGCAATACATAATCCAATGTTAACGTTAGTTAGACGTTATATCTTTGTGGTTTGGCAATAATGCCTTGTGATTCATGATCTCATGATTTAGAAAATTCTGCAAATTTCGTTTATCAGCTGACTGTAGTTCTTCAATTAAATTTACATAGAATGAAATATCTTCATCAATATTTTTCGTGCCAAGACTTCTTCATCAACTGCCATATGTTCGACACATAATGTTCTTAATACTCCTCAAATACTAAACTATCGTTGAAAGCTGGTACGTATGTATCGTTTTATCTTTGATTATATTGTTTTATCGTGTAACTATAAATAAAACGAAAATATGAAAGAAACCGTGTAATTGTAAATTATACTTAATTGTAAATACTTATAAATAAATTGTAAATATATGTATAAATGTAGATAAAATGTAATACTTAAAAAAAAAATATATATAGATATATATATAAAAAAAAATATATAGATATATATAAAATGTAATACTTATAATTAAAAAAAGTACTATATAATTAAAAAAAATATATGTATAGTACTTAAAAATATGTATAAAATATATATATAATACTTAAAAATATATATAAAATCTAATGTTTAAAAATATAAAAATTATATAAAATGTAATACTTAAAAATATATAAAATATAATGTGTTAGAAATATATAAAATGTAAACTGTAATGTAAGTGTAATGTAAATGCAAAAAAAAACATATATAAATTGTAACGCAATTAATAATATTTAATTGTAAATTTAAAAAAAAAGCACCGTGTATAAAACAAGACACAGACGCACTTCAAGTGAACTAAAACCAGTGATATGTTCCTTTTCTAATGTAAATAATTACCATTTCTCTCCCATTCAAGAGTCAGCTTGTGACTCGGTGGCCATACTGCACACAAGGCGGTTTATTTTCTGGCCGGCCGCGTCCGGGGAACATAATCCGCAGGCGGATAGTTTATGAAAATTTAATAGAGTAACGAGAAGCAAGTGTAAAGCTTATGATAGATATCGGGCAATCGGATAATGAGCGCTTCGCCGTTAATGAGCTTACTCGTAATTGCGCGTCGGCCCGCCCACCGCTTCAAATAATTGTTATTCGCTGTTCGTACACACGTGGACAATAACGATAATCGATCGCGCGCCACTGCCTCCGACGGCGATTGTTTCGCGTGAAATTTATTTATCGACCGGCGCTGTCTACGGTTAATTAACACACGATAGCCTAAGAGGAAAGCGTGTCCGTGAAATTACGGTAATCGGCACGACAAACAGGCCGAGATACTTTGCAGTTCTCGTTCTCGTGCGAGCCAATTTTATATTTTTTTCTTTTTTTTTATATATATATATATTTTTTCTTTGCATTTACAGTAATTATCACAAATAAATAATTCTTTGTAAGTTGAAGAAATTGCACCACCCAATAAGAAGACAGCTCTCATTTTCGATCTCACATCTTTAATTATATGTTTTGCCTTCCAAAAAGAAATTTGATCCTTCACCGCGGTTATTTCATAATAAATTGATTAATATATTTCATAATAATGTGAAATTGATTAATATATTTCATAATAATATGAAAAACACAATTCTCTTTCATTTTGTGCTAAAGAAACGTATAGTTACCGCGGTTATTTCATAATAAATTGATTAATATATTTCATAATAATGTAAAAAGCACCATTAAGTCAATGATTTGTTTTTTGTTAGTTTTTATCCAAAAATTGCAATATTTTCTCAGTTTTCAGTATATTTAAGTATAACCCAGACAAAACGATAAACAGTAAATTTATTATTACTCGATAATTTCTATCCAGTGATGTCATACCGAGTTCAAAAGAAAAAGAAAGCGACGAATTATTGTATACGGTTCGGTCACTCGTTATGGTCCGCAATCAGCTGCCAGCGCAAGCGGTTAATTTCGTAAAAAGAACGATCTACCTGATTTCACTTTGAAACACGAAACTTCCATTTTAGCAGTAGTAGAAAATTAATAATTTAATTATTAGATTATGAATCTTTTTATACAAACGTAAATAGTATTTGTAACGAACATTTTATACACTTTTATTATTTTTTATATATTTAAATTTCCTAGAAATGTATATACAGTGTGTAATACCCATTGATTACAAACATCTCGATATTTATTTTTATTCAATTTGTTAAAAACTATCACATTTGTCTAGCAAGCTTCTCGAATTGAACGTGACTTAATTATATCAGGCTTTCAAAATAAACATCTACTGGTACATGCTGTAAAACACAAATATTGGTTGATTGCAGTGATTGAAATACGTGCACCTGGTTGAAATATTGGCTTCCTGCCTGGCAGAATGTGTTCGATACTCGCACAATTTTAACAGAAATACGACGCAGCAAGACAGTCAGAAATTATTTAATAACCTGTACTAATTACTACATTGTATCAGATTATGATAAACATGTCTGAATTATATCGAAAATGCAGGAAACATTATTGAAAACGTATTTATATTTTTTAGTAATTAAAAGAAAGTTTGATATTTGAATAATAATATGATGAAGAATGTATGATTTCATTTTTTTGTAGGTATGAATAATATTTTCTAAATTACTAACTAGTGTAATTGTACATAGTACTATTTTTACAGCTAAATTTCATCTTTCTTCGACACTGTCTTCATCATTAGTAGACTGTCGATTTTTATGCTTTTATAGAAACTTTTAAAGATTTACAGGAAATTGCATAGAGTGCAATACCAAAAAGTACAGAAAATATAATACATTTTATAATACTTATGATTAGTAAGGAAACAATTTTCTATTTCTAGGTTTACTTTCTTAAATTATATTCTTAAAAATATGAATTTATATTACAGTCTATATATTTGCATTATATTCTAATCGAATTGGAAAAAGTTTGAAGAAAATTTTAAATTTCAAAATATCAGATGTTATACAGTTCAATGAAATAGTGTATTAAGTAGGAGATAACATTTCGGCAACTGAAATATTTTTATTTCAATAATCTGAAACGTAAAATGAAATATTTTAGTCTTATATTTTAAATACGTATTTGAAATACTTATTAAAAAATAAATTACGAACACAAGTTTGT